CCCCCTACCTGTGAGTTTGTGGGCAAGGGGGATCAGGAGAAAAACGGAGAGCAGCTGAGAAGTAGAAAAACTGAGAGACAAGAAGAACGAGGGAAACCCATAAACAGATGGCAAAGTAAAAGATGGGCGAAAGATTTGCAAAGAGACAGGAAGAGTGAAAGTCGAGTAGTGGGGAGAAAAACAACTAGAGAAATTTACAGAAAAGCTCCATCTCTGGAGAGATGAAGGACAGCAAAATAGGGAGAGGGGCAGCAAAAGGGGAGGTCTTTCAGACAGAGTGGGAGGAGAGGATAAATGATTTGCAGTCATGGCAGACAGAGCATCATGGTGCTGGGACAACAAGAGGGCGCTGTTGGTGACAAGAACAGTGGGAGAAAGCCTAGGGGATCTGGGGATGCCAGAGAGTGGGGTCATGTGGGCTCAATAGGGAAGAGATAAGGAGAACTGAGTGGGAGCAAAGATGGGGGAAGAAAAAGACAGAAATATATGGAGATTGAGGACAAACAAAAGATAGTAGAGAAAACAGCAACAAGAGGTGAAACAAATTGCAAGAATGGGCCAGAACAGATTGAGAAGGAATTACGGGAAGAAGGGGAGAAATGGCAGGAGAGGAGAGGGGCAGAAACTCGGGGAAAACACAGAAAAGAAAACTATAGGAAGAAGGTGAGAATGAGAGAATCTGGGTTCTGATGAATGGTGAGTTGATTGCATATGGATGATGGAGTTGTGATATGTTAATTTCTGTCTTTACAGTCTAGCAAATTTTAAATGCATTTATGTGTCAGTGACGGGGATATGTTCTCAGAATGCATCCTTACACGATTTCATCATTGTGCCAACATCATGGTGTACTTAACACAAACCTAGATGATACAGCCTACTACACACCTGCACCATATGGTATGGCCTATGGCTCCTAGGCTACAAACCTGTACAGCATGTTATGGTACTGAATACTGTAGGCAGTTGTAACACAATGATAAATATCTGTCTTTCTAAAGAGGGAAAAGGTAGAGTAAAACTACAGTGTTATAATCTTATGGGACCACTGTCCTATATGTGGTTTACTGTTGACTGTAAAGTCATTTTTCTGCCCATGACTATATGTTTGTTTAAAGTATACAAATGGGGATGAAAATTGTAAAAGTTTTGTCTGTTAGGTTGGTGTATTTTATAATTCTTGGCAGCAGAGGCTAGCTTCCATTTGCAATCCCCATTCAGCCAGAGGGCAGTGACTTGACCCATTAAGTTGTGGGTCACCCTCTTCCCTTTTCCTTGGGTCGGGTAGGGTGTCGAGGGGAGAGGGGAACGTATGAGAGAAGAGGATAAACCAAAGTATTCTTCCTATTTTCGCACTCACTACAACAGTGAACACAACACAGAGTACTGCACCTATGGTAATAAACCACGTGGGGATTTCTCGCCACCAACATCCAATTCTCCATCTGACACAACTGGCTGTTCAATAATTGTAACTAAAAATAATAATAATAATAATAATAATAATTGTAACTCAATTCTGATACTCTATGTGGAGACTGCATCAGATCTCACCGGTTGAGGGCTCAGTTCTACAATACTTCCACTGGGGATTCCATGTCCCAGGTTAGGACCTGAACTTCTGACCAACTGACTATAAATTGGGAATTTCTATGACCCCCTCCTCAGGTTCTATTAATTTGGTTGAGCAGCTCACAGAACTCAGGGAAACACTTTACTTAGGTTTACCCATTTGTTATAAAGGATATAACAAAGGATAGTGATGAACAGCCGATGGAAGAGGCATCCTAGCAAATTTATTGAAGCTGTGGAGGGAGGAGGTTTGGGAATCATGATTTTTATCCAGTCAGAGTATAGGTGACAATTACTACTTGCATATGGCATCTGAAGTGAGGAGAAGTCTTTGGGTCTGAGAACTTAATCTGTAAGATCAGATGCTGTTTCTACGTCAATAGTTTCAGAATTGAGTTAAATTGTAGGACACCCAACTGGGAGTCCACCAGAGAAGTGATCAGTGTGGGAAAAATTACACATTTTGGTGACTGAAGATGAAGTATTCTCTTGACTGTGACAGTAGTAAAAACAGTTTGATTTTTTTCTATCTCACACAGCAAGTGGAAGAAATCTTATCCAGCCAGCCCATCTACTTTTCTCAAGGCCTGTGTTCTTTACTAAGTGTTGACTGGAAATGATCTGTCCTTGACCCTGGCTGTTGCTGACCCTGCGATTGTGTACCATTTGCCAGCCCACTTACAGTGCCAGGATGGTATGGTGTCCTTCCTCTGTATGCACCAATGTTTACTTCAAGGGAATTATTCTGGTCAGCGTACCCAGATTGTGGTACTACTTCTATTAAGATGCCTGTGCACGCATGCACGTGCGCGCACACACACACACGCACACACCCCAAAGCCTTTAATTTACCTTCTACTCTTTTATCTTTAAAGTAAAATATTGATAAGTACATTTCTTCGTCTAGTAAGTACCCCTCTTCTATGTACCATTTAAGAGCTAAAAACTTGTTTATACTGTGTCTTCAATTCTTGCCTCCACTTCTTGCTTGAACCCATTCAAACTTTCACATCCACTGTTCTGCTGAGACTTTCTTTTTTAGAGTCCCCAGTGACCTCCCATTTCTAAATCCAACATCTTCATCTTTTCCATGTTGTACAGTTGATCACTCCCACTTCTTTTTTCTTGGTTTTGAGGTCATCTCACTAACCTTTAAAAATCTATTTGTTTTCGTTTTCTTGTCACCTCTGTGATCTCTTACAAGTTTCCTCTGCTGGTGCCTCCTGAACCCTGTTCTCTGGATTGTCAGACGGCTTAGTTCTTCAACCTCTTTTCGTCTCTTTCTATATGATTACATTTCCTTTTCATTTTATATCATGGCTTTAAACACCACATCTGTGTCTCCATTTCCCCTAGAAATCTCTCCCCTAAATTCTAAAATCCTGTGTCCAGTTGTCTCCTTGAAATCTCTGCTGGGACATCTAAGAGGCATCTCCACCTTCATATATCCAAAAGGGACTTCCCAAGCGTCCCCAAATGTTCCCCCTGCAGTCCTCCACACCTCAGGTAAGGGGGACCATCATTTTTCTGAGGCTTAGTTGAACACCTCTGCATATATTTGAAATACAGGCTGGCCGTTTAGCTCAATTTGTTAGAGTGCTGTGTTGATAACACCAAAGTTGAGGGTTTGGATCCCTGGCCAGGCCACCAAAAAGACAAAACAAACAAAAAAATGAAATATAAAAGATATTATATTATTTGGAAGTGTGTTAACTATGTGTTAACTTATAAAATAAAGAAAAAATTACATGTTTTATTAAATCAAATGAGGAAATACATTGTTTCCAAAATTCTTTTCAGGTGTGGGAGAGAAATGTTTGGAGACCGACCTCGGTCCTGCCTGATGTGCTTTCCCCAATACCTCTGATATCATCTCCTCCTTGTGTCCTCTTTCACTCTGCTTCAGCCACACAGGCCTCTGTCCTTTTCCCAGGGCCAAAGTTGCCCCTGCTTCAGTGTCTTCACTTAGACTTTCCTTCTTCCTAGAACATTCTGGCCCTTCAGGTGCAGGTGGCAAACAGTCTACCTTCCCTAAGTCTTTTTTCTGATATCACCATCTCAATGGAGACTTCTGTAATCCCACCCCACCCTACAATAACATTCAAGCCACACCTTCAATCCTATCTCTGGTCCGTATTGCCTGCTCTGCATGTTTCTTTCTACTCATTTGCCTCCCACTGTCTGAATACTGGTGACAACGAGGCCCCAAGGGAAGAGCAGAGCCAGAAGGTGGCAGTTGTGCTTGGCTTGCTCCTCTGAGTGGTGCTCAACCCTGGCTTCACATTAGAGTGGTGATGTGGAGTCTCTTGTGCCCCCTTACTGGAGATTCCCATTCACACTGTCAGGTTAGGGTCGAGCCACAATAATATTTTTTGTGCCTCAGGTGATTCTAATTTATATCCAGCATTGAGCACCAAGGCTCTGTGTCCTCCATATCCTGAGGCTGAGATCAGCCTGTGATCCATGGAGGGGTGAAGGTGGTTGGACTCTGCCTGGGATTTGGTCTGGTCAGGGTTGGGTCTGCCCAGGAGGGTATCAAGTTCTGCAGAAAGGAGTCCAAAACCGACTTGTTGGTATTCCTATAGGAGTTTATTGTCTGTGCATCCCTCCAGGTGCAGTGGGCAGCAGAGGACCGTCTTTCTTTCTTTTTTATTGAATCATAGTTGATAATACATATTTTGGGGGTTCAATGTTGACATATGTTGATCAAATCAATATTACTAGCGTATATATTGTTACAAATTGTACTTGCTCTTTATGCCACTTGTCCAATCTCTCCCTATCCCCCTCTCCCTCCCCCCTCCCACCACTGATAACCTTAGATTTCTTCTCTCCCTCTGAAAGTGTAGTGGTTACTCTGTTGATTTGTTGCCTATATGATCTGTCCAATGCTGAAAGGTGTGTTCAGGTCACCAATATTATCACAGAGCAGATGCTTCTTCTGTCACTCTGGAATGGGCTTTGTGGAGAGAGACATCCTCTTTTCTTTGGTCTCTGCTGGTGACTTCCCCTGTGTCAATGCACTCCAGTGGCTGGTGGACCATCTGCATGGTGGTTGTGATGTCTAGCCACTTTTGCATCAGCTGTGGTTACTGTGGTGGCTGTGGTGGGCCACCCACATGGAGGTGATGTTTTTGGCATGCTCCTTGTTGCTGGCAGTGTGCCTGGTTGTGGGTGGGGGCTTTGGTCTCTGGACCGATGCCCTGAGCCGCTGGGTGGGGCCCTGAGGTGCTGGTGGTGTGCCTGGTTGTGGGTAGGGGTTCCGGTCCCCACTCTGTGCCCGGGGCCCCTACGCAGGGCCCCGAAGAGGACCGTCTTTCTACATGGTGAGGTCTTCCATGTGAGTGTGGTTGTAGCACAGGAAGGGGGTGTGTTGATTCTAAGCACTTAATGGCATATTTTCAATATTCAGGATTGACTTCTAAAGACTCAGTTTCGTGAAGAAGAAGCCTGGAAGAGGAGGAGGAGTAAAGAAAGGGAATCAGGAATGGCTCTTACTCAGGTAAAGTGATGTTCTCGGTTGACTATTCTGTGTCCTTCCTTTCTGAAATGTGGGCATTGCAGTTGCTAATCTTCTGTGACTGTGAAGTATCCTGTCTGACATGTTTACTCACACTAACTCATGCCATCCCTCAGTTCCTCTCATCTCCAGTTTGATTCCATCTCACCATGACCCAGTGATGTGAGGAGTCTCCACTGGACATGGTCCTGGGAAGGGCTTCCCTCCCAGACATAGATTGGAGACAGGGTGTGGGCCCCATGGTGTGAGTGCTGTTGGGCAGCAGGGATTGTTTAGGGCCCACATCTGGATGCACTGTCAGCACTTTGTAGATCAGAAATAGAGGAAGTGCATGTGGAAGCCATGTATTAATGTATACAAATACCTGGTGTGTTCTGGAAAAAGAAATCAAGGAGGGGATGACTTTTCTGTCTGATCTCATACTACATTTGTACGTAAAAGAGTGGGTCATTGTGTGTCTGTCTCCAAAATCTTAATGATTTGGAATGTAATGTAACATTCCAACACAGAAATCAGTGATAGAAAGTGTTTGTTCTATCACCATTTAAAAAATATAAAATTAACCTAATAGTAGGAGATTCTTTAAACCATTCTCAGCACATCCATCCTATGGAGACTGTGGTGTTCCTGCAGAACCTTTGTGCAACAGGTGTTTTACATAAAAATCGTTATAGTTTTGCTCAGATATTGGAGCAGAATTTCTTTGTCATCAGAGAGGATGGAGCCATATTCTCATTTCACCTGTTGCTATTAAATATGTATTTTTTATTTTAAACATTACATCATGTAAATGTTGTTTTATGATAAAACTTAAAACAAAGATGCAGCTTAGCCCCTAAGACATGGTGACCTAAAAGAAAAAGCAGGCATATAAAGCATAGGATTTATAGAGATAATGTGTTGATTGCAACTAAGAAAATGCATTGGTCAGTTCCCGGTAAGAAATACACTCCAAAGAGAGCCAGCAGAGCTTAGCATTTTATATTCAGAAGAAAGGAAGGATCAAAGGAGAGACAGAAGACAGCCTAGACTAATCATTTCAGTTCTTCTGTTAGTTGTGAATGATTTGGGATTGTTACTAGGTTACATCCTGCATTTTAGGGATCTAGGGTAAGGATTATAGGAAAGATTCTAGGTTATTTTATGACATTTGGTGCCATCACTGTTGCTTCTGTGTAAAAATGGTCTTATGATAATATTTTCCATGACATGTGGATATGACTATCAACTTATCGCAGACCTGGTCAGAGCAGATTTTTTTGTTACCAGACATAAAGCATCCTCTTTCCTGTCAGTCTTCCACCTTCCCTCATGTCTCGATAGGGGAACACTGTTGTCACTTCTGTGGCAGGAGTCAGGGCAAGTCTTGTACAATTGTATTTCTACATCATTATGAGGTTTTAGAAAAAATTCTTCTGTGAATGCTTTATTGTGATGTTTTATTTTGCACATTTTGAAAATTTACATGTTTTCATGTTAGGTTACATGGATAGCTAGCTCTTCTACATCCTCCTTGGAGTATTCTCTGAATGAGGACATGCAGGTCCTTTACAGCTTTTCAGTATTAGAGAGAATGCTGTGGTGGCTGCCTCTGTACACGCCTACATTGCTACATGTATCTTGAAGGCTTTTTCAGGTTGGGCAATTGAAAGAGTGATTGCTTCTTCTAAGATGACACATTTCATATTTTTCTAGATTTGGCAAGATTTCCTCCTACTCCCAATACAAAGGAACCTGCTCTCAGCAATAATGTATGAGATTTTCCCCTCATTTAAACAAAACTTGCTGCTATGTTCTTTTTATGTTTTGGATATCTAGGGAAATGACAACCCTTTGTACTTTCACTTTCCAATTTCTTGTGAGTTTTTGTAGGTTTCATTATTTTGTGGATGTGTATGTATTAAATGGGTTTTCATATTTTGCTCCATTTTCTTTTTGTGTGTTTATAGGAGCTATTTTGTTTGGGTTTTTTGGCGGCTGTCCGGTAGGAGGATCCAAACCCTTGACCTTGGTGTTACAGAAGTTATTTTATATTCTGTGGTTTAAGTCTTTTATATATGTCCTGTTGTCCTTTTTCAGGTTGATACCTTTTCTTAGTGTGAAACAAATCTTTTTTCTTTATGCCTCCTGTTTTTTCTTGTGTGTTTGTCTCATAATGATTTGGAAAGGCTTGCTTAGTGCGTGGTTACAAAATACTGTGTTTCATTTAGTTCCAAAGTTTCATTGTTTATAATTTTCTTTACATGTCTATTTAATTTGAATTTTCGTGTATATCTTACTGTACGTTTTTCATTTAATTCATTTTAAAGTCTTAGGTAATACATGTCAAAACAGGTTCATATGTAGTTTGGCAAACTCCTCCATTTCCTTTTTTTATTCCAAAAAATATTTTGGTTCTTCTTTGACGTGACACAGATTTTATTGAAATCCCACCTATTTCTTTTGTGTTGTAATGGCTGTGAATTTCTACTGTCATAGATGTCTTTACATCACCATGTCTTCCAATAATGATTGAGTTTTCTGGTCTTTGATCATGTCTTTGTTGTATCTCTCAGTAAAGTTTGCTTGTTTGTTTACAGTTCAGCAATGTCAGTATTTTAACATTATTGTACAAAGTATCTCTAGAACTTTTTCATATTGTAAAACTGAAACTCTATACCCAGTATATACTAATTCCTTCTCTGATCTTTCTACAGAGTTTGTCAACCATTTTATGTGTTTCATATGAGTGGAGTCACACAGTACTTGTCTTTTTCTGGCTGGCTTATTTCTCTTAGCATAGTGTGCTTGAATTTCATATATGTTGTAGCATGTGACAGGATTTCCTCCTTTTTTAAGGCTGAATAATATTCCATTACATGTATATACCATATTTTCTTTATACGTGTTGATAGGCATGTTGGTTGCTTCCTCTTCTTGGCGATCGTGTACGATGCTGTGAGGATCATGGGTTTGCAAATTTCTCTTTAAGAGTCTGCTTTCAATTCTTTAACATATATGTATCTCCAGAAGTGGAATTGCTAAATCATGCAGTAGTTCTATCTTTAATTTTTTGACTTGTATAATGAATGCACCATTTTACATTCCCACCAGCAATGCACAGAGTTCTAATTTCTCCACATGCTCTCTAATACTTGTTTTTTTCTGTTCTATCAAAATGTCCATCCCAATGGGTATGAAGTGTTATCTTTTTGTGGTGTTTATTTGCATTTGTCTTATGATTAGTGATAGAGTATCATTTCATATGCTTATTGGCTATTTGTTTACCTTCTTTGGAGTGGTGTCTATTCAATGCAATTGCCTATTCTTTTTTATTTTTTTGGTGGCTGGCCTGTATGGATATCTGAACCCTTGACCTTGGTGTTACAAGGCAGCACTCTAACCAACTAAGCTAACCAGCCAGCCCAACTATCCATTCTTTAATCGGGTTATTTTTGTTGTTGTTGAGTTGTACAAGTTCCTTATATAATCTGGATATTAACGCTTGTCAGATATATGATTTGCAAATCTGTTCTTTTATTCTGTAGGTTGCCTTTTCCCTATTTTGATTCTTTCCTTTGCTGCAGAGAAGTTTTTAAATTGAATGTAGTTCCATTTGTGTGTTTTTGCTTTTCCGGCCCATGCTTTTGGTGTTGTATCCAAAAAATCCTTGTCAAATTCAGGCACCCCTTCAGAGATAACCCTGTGTTGTCTTTTTGTCTATTTCTTGTATTTCTTGTACTTCTTATATTGTCCATGAAAATGTAAAATCCACGTTGATTAGGATATTATAACTGCTGATGGGAGAGTATAATGAAATACAATTAGGGAGACATAATGTTCTTTAAAGTACGTCACATGGGTGTGTCACTTCAATCAAATCAATCCTTACAAATCTCCCCGCTTCTCATTTTGTGTAATGGTAAGAACTCTCCCAATAACCCATTGGCAAAATGTGTTTTTATTTCAGAGTTCTTTGACATTCAGGGATGTGGCCATAGAATTCTCTCAGGAGGAGTGGAAATGCCTGGACTCTGCTCAGAGGACTTTATACAGGGATGTGATGTTGGAGAACTACAGGAACCTAGTCTCCCTGGGTGAGGATAACTTCCCTCCAGAAATGGGATCTTCCCTTATAGAAAAATCTGCCCTTGTATGTCTTTTCATTTTCCCTTGTGTGCCTCATGGGGGCATCACTTGACTAAGATTGAAGCTGTTTTGACTTAGAAATGAAAAGCTTTACAGTGCAGCATCTGGACTTTAACTGTCCCCTTTCTTCAGATGTTCTGATGTTCCCCCTTTGTGATGTATCATTGGGTGGTTCGAGAACTTAAGTATTCATAAAACCTTATGGCACACTTAAAATTTCCAGTTCCTTTGTTTCTATCCCTGTGCTTTTGATTCAGTAGTCCTGGGAAGGTAACTAGATAGCTGCATATTAGTGTTTTTTAAGCATTCAGAAGGAAGCAATCAGTGGATGAATTTGTGAAATATTATTTTAGATCCATCTGTAATGTTCACTCTCTTACCTAATCATGGGCTTGGGAGTCCGGAAAAGTCACAACACATCATGTTTCTTTCTTATTATCAGCAGAAATCTCTGTTTCTGAACTGAGTGTTATCTCCATGTTGGAGCAAGAGAAAGAGCCCTGGACTGTGGAAAGCCAAATGAAAATAGCAAGAAACCCAAATGGATGGGAATGCATCAAAGGTGTGAACACAGGTAAGATATCAAATGTGCAGAAGAGAAGCCACACCATTAAATAGTGTTTGGGAAGCTCTCCGCAAGCGGAGCAGTTCTGTGGGAAAACAAATGTTTATATATCATGAGCTCTCAAGGAAATATTTTTTGTCCTCACTTATCATTCTGTTCTTCAGATGTGTAATAATTTATCCTTTTGCCCTCCACTGGTGCTACAGCTGAAATAGAGACAAAGGCAAAGTCTTTATCACAATGGACAACACTCTATCATCCGGCTTCTGTGAGTGGCTTGGTGTGGGCTGTTTAAGTTCTCTGTCTTGATTGATCAGAACTGAGGCAGCCATAGATCTGACACCTTGCCCTATTCAGGTTACACCCCATTTCCTGTACTCAAAAGTAAAACTTCTCTTCCTTTTCATCTGGGGCCCCAGAAACTGCATGGAGGTGTCTCAAGCCCTCTTTGCTTGTTCAGTTCTGTTGGAGATAGGAAAAAGCCAAAGTGTTTTTCCTATTCTCACATGCCAGTCAACACAGAATACTTCATTTATGGTCACCAAAATGTGTGGGAATTTATTCCTACCAAGAACCAATTCTAGGGTGGACATCAACAGGGTGTCCTGTAATTCTGTTAAATTCTGACACTGTCTACCTGGAATTGATTCAGATCCCAGAGGTCAAGGCTTGATTTCCCAAGACTGCTCCCAACTTCAGGTGCCAATTGCAAGTAGTTGATTGTTACCTATTCTTCTAACTGACTGCCTATAACTCAGGGTTCCCGTGACCTCTTTTTTGGGTTTGGTCATTTTGCTAGGATGGCTCACAGAACTCAGGGGATCACTTTCTTACATTTACCAGTTTATTATAAAGGATATCTCAAAAGGTACAGGTGAACAGCTAGATGAGGAGATGTACAAGGCAAGGTACATGGGAAGGGGTATCGAGAGTCCATGACATCTCTGAGCGCACCACTCCCCAGGCACCTCCATGCATTCAGAATTTGGAAGCTCTCTAAATTCTGGTGTTTTTATGAAGGCTCCATCATGTAGGCACGATCCATTATTATCTCAAGCTCCAGCCCTGTTTTTCTTCCTAGAGGATGGAGACAGGACCGTAACTTCCACACTTCTAATCTTGGCTTGGTCTTTCTGGTGAGCAGCCCCATCTATGCGACCACCAGAGTTGCCTCATTAGAAGAAATCAGGCTCCTATCACCCAGGAAATTTCTAGGGATTAGGGGCTTTGTGTCAAGAACTCGGCAAGAGAACAAGATATATACTTCTTCTCCTTTCACAAGGTATCTCAGCAAGTCTTCAGTTCTCCTTTTTTCACACTTTACTGATGTGTGTAATAGGGGTGTAGGTCATTACTCGGCAGAACTGTAAGCACAGTCATCAGAAAGACCCTGTTTTTTTGATCCCCAGTTCTACATGGGGAGCATGTCTCACTGGAATTATGCCTCCATTTTTAACTCTACCCTGATTTGTTTTTTGTTTTGTTTTCTTTGTTTGATTTTTGGTTTTCAGCAGCTGGCTGGTACAGGGATCTGAACCTGTGACCTTGGTGTTACCAGCACCATGCTCCTCATTTGTTTAAGCCAGTGCTAATTTCATGTTGTACATTTCCATGTGTTATAAATGAACTTGGTTTTTATGTATTTAATCATCAGTTCCATATCTTTTATGATACTCTTTGTGTTCTTTGTTTTATATCTGCACTGTGTGGAACCTGGTGTATTAGAACAATGAATACTGATTTATTTATTTTAGAGTAAGATTTCCCTCTTTAGTGCAGAGGATATGGCTTCACATGTAACACCTACACAAACTCCAAAACTTCCTAAAGATAGTTTTTTTTTTTTTTTGTCTTTTTTTTTTTTCGTGTCCGGCAACGGATCACAACCCTCAGTGTCGCGCCCGTACCAGATCGGGACCGGCAACGGGATCGCAACCCTCGGTGTTGTGCCCGCACCTCGCTCAGCCAGTGAGTGGGAACCGGTCTGTATGTGGGATCCGAACCCTCGGCGGGAGTCGCACTGTAGCAGTGCACCACCGGGCCGGCCTGTAAAGATAGTTTTAATTATTCCTTTTACTTCTGTTTCACCTGACTTAGTACCTATTATTAAAGTACACTTTTTTCATTTGAATTATTAAAATGTGCAAATAGGAGTTTTTTTTTATTAAGTTACTTTCTTAATTTCAAAAATATCATTAAATTGACTTGTCCTCATTTGTTAAGACACATTGTGTTTTCTATAGTGTGTTTTCAATTTTCTAAGCATAATTTGTGTATATTATTTAAATTTTACTCTTAGTTTTTTGGAACAAATGCTATATTCTAATAATTTTTCTCCCTGTCTAGATTCAGCATATCCATGTCAATATACTAAATTAATACTTAAATATCTCATAGTATTTTACAAGACACATAACCCATTTCTTTTGTTTCATGGACTTCTCCACTATCATTTATATCACATGTATCTTCTGCAAAATTTCTGGAGTTCTGGAAATTGCATTCTTGAGTTGACCCATGAAGACTGTTTTATTTCTTGTCTTTCTTCTATCTGAATTTCCTGTAATGTTCAGCTGGTCCCTGTGAACCCACCTCCTGGTACTGTCCTGTTCTCTGGCTCTTTTTGCTGCTTATGTTTCTGATGACCTCCTCTGTGAGTCTCCACACCACTGCCGGGAAATGTGTCTGCACTTCGCTGCCACTAATGGTGCCCTTCAGTTCAAGCCAACTCCCTACTGTGGATCATTTATTTATTTTCTCCGTTAGTTTACTTATATTCTGGTGATATTTATGAAGCCAAATTCATTGATTTGGGTGAGTGCACATTAATTTTCATTCATTCATGTTAACAGCCAGATTCTAAAATACATGCAGTAGTATTACCCAGTAGCTCATATCTCTTTTTTTATTTTGTCAAATAACTTTTATAATAATTTACAGTGTATGAGCTTAGCAAAGTTAAAATATACCATGTTTTTCATGTTTGAATTTAGTTTCAGTTGATTACCATGAGTATTTAAACTCACCCCCCCACCCCCATTTTCCTCTATCTCTAGCCCTTGACAACTACCATTCTGCTTTCTGTTACTACATTTTTGACTATTTTAGATATCACATGTAAGTGGAATCATACAATATTTGTTTTTATTCACTTAGCATAATGTTTTCAGGTTTCATTAATGTTGTAGCATATAATAGGACTTCTATCTTTTAAAGGCTGAATAATATTCTATTGTATGAACATATGTCATTTTGTTTATCCATTTGTTTCTTATAAACACCTAGTTTGCTTTCATCTCTTAGCTATTGTGAATAATACTGCTATAAATGTGGGCTTACAAATATTTCTTCCTGGCCCTGTTTTCTTTTTCTTTTTCTTTTTTTTTTAAAGATGACCGGTAAGGGGATCTTAACCCTTGACTTGGTGTTATCAGCACCACGCTCTCCCAAGTGAGCCATGGGCCAGCCCCTTCCTGGTCCTATTTTCAATTCCTTTGGGTATATACCCAGAAATGGAATTGTGGGTCTATATAATAATTCAATTTTTAATTATTTGAGGGAACATCATACAGTTGGCCCTCTGTACCTGTGGATTCTGCATTCACAGATTCAACCAACAATGGATTCAACCTCTGTCAGATCAAAAACATTCAAAAAAAGAAATTCCAGAATGTTTCAAAAAGGAAAACTTGAATTTGCCACTTGCCTAGTACTACACTGAATTCATACAAATGAATGATGTTTAAGCAGTGTATTAGATATTATAGGTAATGTAGAGATGATTTTAAGTTTACAGAAGGGTCGTATAGGTAATATGAAAATACTTCACAATTTTATATAAGGGACTTAAGCATAAGTGGGTTTTAGTATCTGTGGGGGGCCCTAGAAGCAATCCCCGACAAATACTGAGTACTTTTCTCCATAGCAGCTGTACCATTTTATATTTCCACCAACAGGGCTCCCATTTCTCCACATCCTTGTCAACACTTCCTATTTTCTGTTCTTTTTTGACAGTAGATATCTCTGTGGGTGTGAAGTGATGGTATCTCACTGTGTTATGTGTATGCATTTCCCTAATGATTGGTGATGTTTTGCATCTTTTCATGTGTTTGTTGGTCATTTGTATATCATTTGTGGAGACATGTTTATCAGTGCCTTTGTCCATTTTTTAATCACGTTATTTGTTTTTTCTGTGTGTTGACTTCCAGAAGTTTTTTTTAACATTCTAATATTAACCCCTTATCAGATATATGATTTTCAAGTATTTTCTCCTTCTTCATTGGTTTTCTTTACACTTTGTTAATTGATATTTTTCTGACTATTTTATCTATTTTTTCTTTTGTTGTCTGCGCTTTTGGTGTCATATCCAGGAAATTATTGTCA